CCTCTCAAAGGGGGGGGGAGACCTGGAGCCCCCCAGGAGGGGCTGGTCCCCGGGGCTCTGCTCAGGGGGCCTCCAGTGCCATGCGTCCAGCAGCCTCCCACTCCTCTGTCACACATGTCCTGCAGCCGCTGCCTCTTTCAGGGGGGTGTGGGGTGTGTCTGGGCCACCCCTCCCTCCCCTCCAGCTGCCAGGGCACTGTGGGGTGTTCACCCGTCCCTGGGAAGCGCGTTCCCCCTCTGCTCACCCCGGCACCGAGCTCACCACATCCCCCCGTGGGGGGTGACCCCCGGCAGGGCTGGCTGGGGCTTCCCCGATAGACACTGTGTCCCCCCAGTGTCACCCGGATCCTTCGGCCGTAGGGTGGGGACTGCCGCACGCCCACAGGTGTTTGCACACGCGTGTGCCGCCTCTCCCAGCGTGAGGGTGCTGTCACATGTTATGTCACTGTCACACTGTCACCCTGGTGCACATGGGGGCCACATCCCTGCTCACACACACACACAGGCGGGCACTTCCCACGTAGCCTGTGGTTGTGTCACACTGCCACACACATGTGTCACACTCATACATGTGTGTTGCTTTGCTACACAAGCATGTCATGCTGCTGCACACATGTTGCAGTCACACATGTGTTGCACTGCCACAGATGCGTGTCATGCTGTCACACGTGTCACACTGATGCAAATGTGTCACGCTGCCATACATGTCATGCTGTCATGTGCATGTCACACTGCCAGACACACGTGTCACACTTGTACATGTGTGTTGCTTTGCTACACAGGTGTGTCATACTGCTGCACATGTGTTGCAGGCACACACGTGTCACGCTGTCACGCATGCATGTTGCACTGTCTTGCACACATACTGCCACACATGTTGCACTGTCACAGATGTGTCACGCTGTCATGCATGTGTGTTGCACTGCCATACACGTCACGCTGTTGTATGTGTCGTGCTGTCACACATGCGTGTTGTGCTGTCACACATGTGTGTTGCACTGCCATACACACGTGTCACACTCATACATGTGTTGCTTTGCTACACAAGCGTGTCATGCTGCTGCACACACGTTGCAGTCACATGTGTTGTGCTGTCACATATGCGTGTTGCAGTCTTGCACACGTCATACTGACACGTGTGGCATTGTCACAGATAAGTGTTGCACTGTCACAGATGCGTGTCACACCATCACACATGTGTGTCGTGCTGCCATACACGTGTTATGCTGCCACACACGTGTGTCACGCTGTCATGCACGTGTGTTGCGCTGCCATGCACATGTGTCAGGCTGTCATGTATGTGTCATGCTGTTGTGCACACGTGTTGTGCTGCCATACACGTGTCATGCTGTCATGTGCGTGTCACACTGCCATGCTACACAAGTGTGTATACTGCTGCACACGTGTTGCAGTCACACACACGTCACACTGTCACGCATGCATGTTGCACTGTCTTGCACACATCATACTGCCACGTGTTGCACTGTCAGATGCATGTCATGCTGTCACGCATGCGTGTCACACTGCCATATACGTGTCACACTCATACATGTGTGTTGCTTTGCTACACAAGCGTGTCATGCTGCCACACACACGTGTTGCAGTCACATGTATGTCGTGCTGTCATGTATGCGTGTTGCAGTCTTGCACACATCATACTGCCACACGTGTGGCATTGTCACAGATACGTGTTGCACTGTCACAAATGCGTGTCATGCTGTCACGCATCATGTTGCGCTGCCATACACGTCACGCTGTTGTGTGTGTCACGCTGCCACACACACGTCACACTGCCACGCACG